GTTCTGATTCCTGACCACTGTTTCAGTGTAGAATTTTTTTCCTAAAATCTAATCTAAACTTCTCTGGTGCAACTGGAAGCTATTTCTCCTTTTCCTATCACTAGTTGCTTGGGAGAAGAGACCAACCCTCACCTTGCTACAACCTCCATTCAGGTAGTTGTAGATAGTGATAAGGTCTTGCCTGAGCTTCCTTTTCTCCAAAGCTAAACACCCTCAGCTGCCTCTCATCAGACTTGGGCTCCAGTCCCTTCACCAGCTCCACTGCCACTCTCTAGACATGCCCTGTCACCTTTATGTCTGCCCAGAACTGGACACAGCTCTCGAGGTGCAGCGTCACCAATGCTGAGTACAATGTGACAATTTTTCTGGTCTTGCTGGCCACGCTATTTCTGATACAAGCCAGGATGCCATTGGCCTTCTTGGCTACCTGGGCACACTGCTGGCTCATATTCAGCTGCTGTTGACCAGTGCCCCCAGGTCCTTTTCTGATGAGCAGAAGAAGATGCACAGCTTAACATGGTGCTGCTCCTCCACGTGGTGCTTCACGCAGCTGCCTGTAGGGCTTTTCTGACTCCACAGGGAGCCCCATCAGGCTGGCTGGGCCGAAAACAAAGGGTACAGCTTCACAGTGCAGTTCAGCTGAATTATCAGCATCCCGGCAACAATGGAAATGGAGGTTTGCCTCCTCCTTAATGTTCCTTTATTTCCTCCTTTTCTTCTGACTTCTGACAACATGTTCTCCCTTTTGCCTGTGATAGCATGAATCTGACTGCAAAGCAGAATCATAGAATCAACCTGGTTGGAAGAGACCTCAAAGATCATCGAGTCCAACCCTACTAGACCATGGCACCAAGTGCCACATCCAGTCTTATCTTGAAAACCTCCAGGGAAGTAATTCAGTTCAGTGTGCTTACCTAGCAGATACTTGGTGCATTTCTGCCAGGTGAATTTCCTGTCGTCTTAGTCAGTTGAGTTTTTGTGGTGTGTGGTCAAAAACACTACAGCTTGGTCAGGGTGAGCAGGACCTCCTTCCTGGGGGCAAGCTGTAATTCTGTTCAAACTGCCTTTGAAACTATTCCCTGACTCTGCAAATAAGAAAGAGGTTTCTTCCAGTTCACTTGCTTGAACTGAGTCCTTAGGGCATTGTGTGTATGCCAGTGCAAGAAGAGATGAAATAATAAAAGTGGAAATGGGGCAGAAATGCATGTTCCAGCTCTCCATTTCAGTAATTAAGCTGCAACGTGAAATGCTGCCTAAAAGTTTATAATGGAAATACTGAAGTTGGTGAATTTTTTCACCATTATATGTG